TTCCAACAATAGCAAAATATAAGTATGTGCTTCAGACCCCAATCTTTTAGCAGCAGCAATCTAATAGTTTGATGTAAAATATATTCTAAAAAAAAAATTGAACTGTACAAAGATATCAGAGAGCTGTCAAGACAGCAAAGACCTGAAAACTCCAAATGCCAAGGAGATGAAAGGCCCAAGTTCTGCCCACATTGACCAACTCAGAGCTGCAGCCAGGAGGCGAAGCAGTGCAGAGTGTGTGCAGCAAGCTCAGGTGTGTGTCACGGACAGAAAACAAAACCAAGTGGACGCAAGCATTAGGGAACCATGAGAACAAAGTTCAAATTTTAAAGAATAAACTATATGCATTTCTGTTCCATATGTACAGATATTACACACATACATAAGGAGCCCTGGTGACACAGGGGTGAAGCACTTGGCTGCTGAAAATAGGTCTGCAGTTTGACCCCACCATAGGTCTTTCTCTATGGGAGAAAGACGTGGTAGCGTACTTCAGTAAGGATTACAGCCCTGGAAACCCTATAGGGCAGTTCTATGCTGTCCTATAGGACTACTTCGAGTTGGAATGGATTCAATGGCAGTGTTTTGTTTGTTTGTTTATACACATACACACACACATTTTTGTTGTTAAGTGTTAGTGAGCCAGTTCAGACTCATAGCGACCCTGCAGAGGGTTTCTGAGGAGCAGCAGTCCCTAAGAGAACTGCTGATCATGTAGTTCATATTACAGTGCTGATCCTACAGCACCACACCAGGCTCATACACACACACACACCCCTAAAAAATCACTGATACTGTGTTTAACAATAAACTGCTTTCAAGATTGCTTTCCCTCTCTCCCTTCCCCAACATTCACTGGGGCCAAGATTTTTTTTTTTTTTTTTTAATATCCATGAGAGCTTCTCAGGGATTCTGGTCACTTTGACAAAAGGTCTATCCAGTGTTGTAACCTGTACCATTATCTGTTTATCACTAATTTGATCACCTCTTTCTCCTAGCAGTTACTTACTTAGGTTGAAAACCAGAAGGGTTGTCGGATGACATCAAGAACATTATACAGGAAGAAACCAAAAGGTCATTAAGAAGACAAGAAAGGGAGAAAACGGCCATTTTAAATGTCAGAAGAGACTCTGAAACTTGCTCTCCAGCATAGAGATGCCAAAGCATGAAATGAGGTAAAAGAGCTGACTAGAGAATTTCAAAGGGCATCTTGAGAAGATAAAGTAGAATATTATAAAGAGGTGTGCAAAGATCTAGAGTTAGAAAACCAAAAGGGAAGAACATGCTCAGCATTTCTCAAGATGAGGGAACTGAAGAAAAAATTTAAGCTGCAACTAGCAATATTGAAGGCTTCTGTGGGCAAAATATTAAAAGAGCCAAGGAGCTGGAGGTTTGATGGCAGACTACGCAGAAAGGCTGAGTACACCCACATCAGTAAAAACAAGAAGACTCAACAAAACAGATTCAGAGGACAATCCCAAAACTCTGGACTTCAGATAAAGGGATAAATAAGTGATTGAGTGCTTACTGGGAGATAGATTTGGACTAGAAGCCAGAAAGGAGGTGACTTCTGATATGGGCCAGCCAACATGTCTCATCACCCCAGATGTGTAGAAGATGTATCACTAAAAGGGGAGAATATCTAATCTTTCATTTTAGATAACATTCAGCAACAGAAGACCCCAGGACCATCACGAGGGAAGAGTCTGAGTGGAGGCTGGGATCCTAATCAGAAAAGTGGCAACAGCAGACATGGTGGCAGAGGTGCTAGCATAAAGAGACAGAGCAGCTGAGAACTCTAGGCCCATGGAATGAGAAAGGCTGTGTGCCTTTGGGCAGGAGGCTGGCTTGCAAAATGTACCCTATAGACATTTAAATGAATGTATATTTCTGTATCATGTGTACATAAAAAAAAAAAGGAGTACAGGTAAATACTAGTAACTGATGAACATGGAGGAGATGGTAATAACTGCAATGAAACCAACAAAAAAAAGATTTGTTGAATGTAAAACTGATGATCTGCCCTGTAAACTTTTACTCAAGTCATAATAAAAGCTTAACAACAATAACAACAACAAAAAGAAGATGGGAGAAATACAGAGTCACTGTACCAAAAATAAATGGTCAATGTTCAACCATTTCAAGATGCAGCATATGATCAAGAGCCAATGATACTGAAGGAGGAAGTCCACGGTGCACTGAAGGCATTACAAAGAACATGGCTCTGGTAAGTGATGGAATACAAATTAAAACCTTTCAACAAACTGATGTAGCACTGAAGGCACTCACATATCTATGCCAAGAAATTTGGAAGACAGCTACTTGGCTAACTGATTAGAAGATATCCATATTTTGGACATTCCAAAGTGAGGTGGCACAAAGGAAGACAGAAATAATAGGACAATATCATTAACACTGCATGCAAGTAAAATTTTGCTCAAGATAATTCAAAAAAAGGCTACAACCATGCATTGACAGGGAACTGCCAGAGGTTCAAGCCAGATTCAGATGAGAATGCGGAATGAGGGATATCATTGCTGGTGTCAGATGGATCTTGGCTGAAAGCAGAAAATAGTACAAAGTTGTTTACCTGGGCTTTATTGACTATGCCAAGGCTTTCAATTGTGTGGTTCATGACAGGCTATGGACAACATTACAGAAAATGAGTATTCCGGGACACTTACTTGTGCTCATGAGGAACCTGTACATAGGCCAAAAAGCAGCTATCCAAACAGCACCAAGATTATGTTCTTTTGCCATATCTATTCAGTATATATGCTGAAAAGTAATTCAAGAAGTTGGATTATATGAAGAAAAACATCGTATCACAGTTGGAGGAAGACTCTTTAACAGTCTGTGATATGCAGATGATACAATCTTACTTGTTGAAAATGAAGAGGACTCAAAATACTTATGGATGAAGAACAAAGACCACAGCCTTTAGTATGGGTAGCACCTCAGTGTAAAGAAAACAAAAGTTCTCACCACTGGAGCAATGACACTGAAGTTATCAAAGACTTTGTTTGGTTGGATACTCCACCAACCCTCATGGAACCAACAGTAAGGAAATCAAATGACATATTGCATTCAGTAAATCTATTGCATAAGACCTAAAGAGCTCAAGAGCAAAGGTATCATTCTGAGTACTAAGGCACATGTGATCCAAGCCAAGGTATTTTCTTTTTTTTTTTTTATGTTGAGAAAGTTTATTTCAAATTTTTATCTAATTACATTTTTCCACAATGTAATTGAAGCTTTCTAAAGCCCCCTTGTATATGCACATTTAAAGGGGAATAATGCATGATTATCATGGATTTAACAAGTAGCAAAGGGCAGAGACAGATACAAATAAACCACTAACTCAAATCGTGAGTCAGTGAAGAAATCAAAAGTCTTATCCTGGGATGCAGAGGGAAGGGGTTCAAAGGCTCTATGAGTATGAGTGGCTTTGAGTGCCATGTAGGACGGGCCTCCAAGGCTAAGGTAACCAAAAGGAGCAGTCTCAGAAATGCAGAGCTTTCAAAGACAATGGAGTGTCTGTGTTGGGGAGAAGGCTATAATCTAACAAGAGACTGAATAAACAGAGATAATCCTATCCAGTTAATACCAGGAACAATGCTGACCTGTACTTCACAATAGCAATTCACAGAGACTCTGAGGAGCCTATGAAGTTAACAAGTGGATCCATTCACAAAGGCTGATGCTGGAAGTGCTTTTGAGGAGGTTCAGTGTCTATTGTCCACTGCCTACCCTGGGGCCCCAGTCCCTAGAAATCAAGACCATCTAAGAAGAAGGGTCTTCCTTAATGGAAACTGCTTCGGCTCCAGAAAAGCAAAATGAAAACGAAATAAAACTAATGCAGCGTCACAGCAAACACCAAGCTGCCGTGCTGTATGAGAACAGGGCCTGGCCGTCCTTACAGGGACTCACTTCATACAGGGTACAACACAATGTGGCTTCTCCTTGTTCCTACTGCTCAGCCCCCCACCCCACAAAATAGTAACTCAACACCAAGGAATAACAGTATCCAAACATAACCATATCCACACAAAGTAGTACTACTGCCACACTAAGCTAGGATCTTACACTCCTTCCACATATTTACAGAATACCCTCACTCGGAGAGCTCTGGCTGCATGGCAGACTGTGCTGCATTGCATTTCTCCTCTTGAGGTAGCTCAGAGTCTGGAACATCACACACTCGCGGGTGACCCACGCTACTATAGGCACACCTCGCTTTACTGCACTCCGTTGACGTTATTTATCAGAAATGGAAGGTTAGTGGCAATCCTGCATTGAGCAACTCTCCTGGTGCCACTTTTCCAACACTGTGTGCTCCCTTCCTGTCTGTGTCACATTCTGATCATTCTCATGGGATTTCAAACCTTTTCATCATGCTATTGCGTACTTAATAGACGACAGCAGAGTGGTACATGGACTGGGAAAGACACGCTTAATTGCAGTATTTGCTTGATTGGGGTGGTCTAGAACCGACCCCCAATATATCTGAGGGATGTCTGTACTGAGAACTAATTGTCACATGACACTTAACAACCCAAATCCTTATTTCCTTATGTCCAGATGAGAGTCATTTCCTCACCTCCAGTCAGACAAATGCATCTGACAACTAGACATACAGGAAAAGATTAAAAGACACACATACATACACACACAGCCCAAAGACCCTAAAAACTAAAAAGGAATCAGCAATTGACATCACACTAAACTAAGTCTATACTTAAAGACAAAACAAATCTATCAGGCTTACCAATGCTAATGGCATATTTGAAAGTCAACAGTTTATAAAACAAGGGTAAAAAGTTCAGGTATGAACGTAAGACAAAAACCGTCTCCTTCCCTGGCAACAAGTTTTCCCGTATGGTCATACTCAAGAGAACAGGTATGGGGGGTGAGGAGGATCAGCTCTGGTACTCAGGTAGGCTACATGGGCATGGGGATGTTGGGCACCACCTGCTCCAGGTAGGCCAAGGAGCCCTTGCGGGAGGTCGGCCGGCTTTTTGTGCTGCACGCTGATGTTGTCCAGCACCTGCTGCCAATGCTGCAGCTTGGTCAGATGTTTCTGGACCAGGACGTGTTTCTGCTGCAGTTCATTCCGTAATTTCGAGATACTCTTTTTGATAACTTGCTCTGGTTTCTGGACAGATAACTGTAATCTTTTTTGTAAGAAAAAACATTCTGCCTGTCTTGTGATGTCCAGAAACTTCTGAATGCACTGATCAACACCAGTTCAAATGTCCTTCTGATCGGTGCTGTTCACAGAATCCTGACTCATCGGAGAAGCAAAGCAGGCCTCAAAAGAGGACTCCAGTTCATCCACCAACATATTCTTACAGGATCTGGGAGCCCCTGGAACGGCTTCAAAAAGCAAAGCCCAGCCAGGGAGTCCTTGTGGGAGTGGCGGGGACCCTGGTGGCTGCCCAGAGAACATACCACCTAGTGCAGCCACTGTGATACACTCAACCATGGTATTTTCAATAACTTCACATGCATGTGAAAGTAATTAGGAAGATTGTAGAATAATTGATGCTTTTGAGCTAGGGTGTTGGGAGAATATTAAAAGT